GCTCGATTGGCCGTGGCCATCTCCTGTCCTGTGCAAACTGACTGACTGACTGACTGATTAACTGAACTGAACTGGTTGTGCGCTTACGGTTTCGGCGTTTCCCTTTCGGAATGCCGACAGCCGACGGAATTGATTGTAACATTGAAAATGCCACTCTTGAAGCGGATATTGAAAACACTAAGCTCTGTACTCAGGTGAGAATGGCATATATTTTAAAAGATGCGTCTCAATGGAAATTTTGTGTTTGCGAAAGTGCTTTTATTATTTCTAGATCTATTGTCCTCTCGATTGATTATAATTTTTTGTTATCCCCGGCAAATAAAATAGGCACTTTTATTCTTTTTCCTCGATAATGTATTCTTCTTTCGCGGTGTTTTCACGCGATGTAAGGTGAACTGTTATGCTTATTATTCGCACGTTTTGTTCGTTCAGACAAATCTCCACCTAAGTGGATTCATTACTTACTTACTTTACCTCACTGCGGCTTGGAAGGAATATGCCGGCTCTAATAATGTCTCTGATGTTCGCTGTCTATGCTTGGCGGTTGGCTGCAAGATCCTTGCGAATGTTAATCCAGTTTGTGTACGGTGAGTGGTGTTCAGTTCAGTGCACCGTGCACCATCTGAAGGCCAATTTGATTGACGTCTTCGAATACAGTGTACAGTCAAGTTTTTAGTTGCTCTCCTTGTCGGCGGCGCCAGCCAGGACATGTTCTCGGAGCCAAGACAATACTCATAAAAGTGTCGTCGGGTCTGCGGAGGACATGGCCCACCCATTGCAGTCAGCGGCGTTGTGTGCGTTGAGAGACGGGCAACGTGGCATTCACTTCTGAGGTCCGAGTTTAAGACTCTGTCCCGCCAGTTTACTTTCAGGATGAATCGCAGACACCAGTGATCGAAGACCTCCAATCGTCGGACGTCCTCAGCTAACAGCGACCAGGTTTCGCAACCGTAAAGTAGGACTGGTCAAACTGCTGTGGCAAACACCCTGAGCTTGGTTTTGAGGATGATCTCGTTCCGACGCCATAGGGTGGTTCGGAGCTGCAGAAACGCCGTTCGGGCCATGTCGATGCACCGCTTTATATCATCTTTGGTTCATCCATTGTGCAGGATGGTGGACCCAAGTTACTNACTTGAATTCCGATACGATTTCTATTGTCCAATCATCCAGTTGCAGATGATGTTCCGCTTGATCAGGTTGAGTGAAGAACATCTTGCTTTTGTTAGGATTAATCTCAATGCCGATCTGATTGGCAGATCTTTTGATACGGTTGAGAGCTGTTTGCAAGGCGGCCAGGTCTTCTCCTAGCACTATCACGTCATCGGCGAATTCGAGATCAGTAATCCAATAATCCGCGGAAACTTGGACGCCTTGGTAACCTTCCATTGCCCAACGCAGAATCCAATCAACGGCGAAATTGAACAACACGAGTTAGTGGGCATCCTTGTCTTACTCCGGACCACCGATCGAAGGGATGAGACTCTTCACCGTAGGCACGGATACGGGCTTTGGTTAGGGTGTAATACGATTTCACTATATTGACCAACTTTGCAGGGACGCCATCTACAAGCATTATCTTGTACAGTAACTCGCGGTCCACTGAATCGAATGCGGCGCGAAAGTCAATGAAATATGTAGCGGTGGGGCGCGAAACTTGTATCAGTTTTCCGGAATTCACCTTAGGAAGGAAATCTAATCGATACATCTTTTGCCGGGTTGGAAAACTCTTTGGTTTGGCCGCGTGCGTGCATGCCTCACTGTGGATTCATTCCTAGTTTCTACTTTAATGCTGACCAATCCTGGGTTATATTGCTTGGTCTATCGTTTATTTTTTGTCTGTGCTGAATATCTCGACAAAGATGTTCGAGTGGCGTCTGACTCATTAGTATAATTTATGATTGCTCACTTCCATCACACGAATTATTCAATTGTTCATTCCCGCACTCCGTCATTGGTCTCATCTTCGGTATGTGTATGATCTTCGGTTTCCGGTTTAGGCGGTAAGGCATGGGGTTGGCTACGGGTAACACAACTAAATGCTATCGAACGCGTCTCTAGGTTGTGGATAGAAGGACGGCCACCTTGGTAGTTCACCGTGAATAGATGCGAGCCAACGCACTAGATTATCGGTCGAGAACGATCAGCGGCGATTGTAGAGAACGTGATGAGTCTACCAATTGACAATCGATATCCCTTCTTAAAAGTTGTGCTGATAGCATCGTGACGTCTTCGAATGTGGCCCACCCCCATATAAGGCCTTTGCTACTGCACGTTTCACCAAGAGAGACCATAAACAGTCCTGGAGTGCGAGTACAGACAGCATAGAGGCTGTAACCGTCACGGAGAACTTTGGAAGGCCTTCTGCCGCAGCAGAAGAGGCAGACATTGGAGTCTCTTTTGCACGACACCACAGGCCAACTTATTCAGGA